CGCTCCAGCCTTAAAATTATGTATCATTTAAGGCAACAAAAGTTAAATCCCGTCCTATAACTAAGTCAATTTAAAAAAAAAAAGCTGTGACCTTCCTCACCCCTTCATCTGTTCCCTGGCTCAAAAAATCCCCTCCTGTAACTTGGCCAAAGAAAATAAAAACTTCTGCACACACATGCATCTGGGCAAAATACAGCGTCTACTCGAAAAAGAATCAACACTAATTCTGCACATTTTTTCCATAAAATAAAAGAGGAGAACCATATCCTGATTTTTTTCTTTTTGGGTTATACCCAGTGATGCACAGGTATTACTCCTGGCTCTGTACCCAGGAATTACTCCCGTACTCCCGGAGGCACTCGGGGGACCATATGAGATACTGGGAATCAAACCCAGGTTGACCGGGGCCAAGGTAAATGCCTATCAACTGTACTATCACTCCGGTTCCTATATCCTGATTTTTTTTTTTTTTTTTTTTTTTGCTTTTTGGGTCACACCCGGCAATGCACAGGGATTATTCCGGGCTCTGCACTCAGGAGTTACTTCTGGCGGTGCTCAGGGGACCATATGGGATGCTAGGATTCGAACCCAGGTTGGCCGCGTGCAAGGCAAATGCCTTACCTGCTGTGCTATCTCTCTAGCCCCTATCGTGATTCTAAATAACACGATCATGATCATCCTGTTGTTTGTCGATTGCCTCGAGCAGGCCCCAGTAACGTCTCCTTCGTCCAAGCCCTGAGATTTTAAAAAGTGCCATATTTAAGGCTCTTTCAGGGTTAGGAGAATGAGACCCATCATTGTTACTGGTATTTGGCATATTGGGTATGCCACGGGGAGTTTGCCATGTGGGCAGGTTACATTCAGTAGCCTGCCAGGTTGTCCAAAGTAAGAATGAGATAATAAGATGTTATTTTCTAAACATAAATAATCACTTAATCACTTAATCACTTAATCCCCGTTATTCATCGATTTATTCGAGCGGGTGCCAGTAACGTCTCCATTCATCCCGGTTGCGTGCTAGTGTAGCCCAATGGTATCTGTTCGTTTTAGGAACATGTAGAGCCTCAAACCGATCATTTAGGGTCTTGACGAAGAAGTCTGACCATCTTATAGGTGGGCGTCCACGTGATCTTTTGATGTCTCGTGGAATCCAATCAGTAATGGCTCTAGTCCAGCGGTTGTCTGTAAACCTCATTACGTGTCCAGCCCATCTGATTTTTGATGTCTTGGCAAATGAGACAGCGTCCCTGATTCTTGAGCGTTGACGAAGATCAGAACTCCGGATTCTATCTCTCATTTGAGTGAATCATGATATTCCAAGCATAGTTCTTTCGATTCTTCTTTGAGAGACCCGAATAGTGTTCTCATCCTGTTTTCGTAGGGTCCAGGTCTCTGAGGCATATGTTAATGCAGGAAGAATAGTGGAATCAAAGAGATGTGCTCGTAGCTGGAGGTTCTTTGTCCTTTTAGTTATTTCTTCAATGCTCTTGAAGGCATTCCAAGCCGCTCTCTTCCTCCTGCGCAACTCAGGTGCCAGGTCATTCATCATGTTGATTTCTCGACCTAGGTATATATAACTGTTGCATTCGGAGATGGTGGTTTTGTTGAGAGCGAATGGAGTGTCAGGAACAAGGCTGTTTCTCATAAACATTGTCTTCGTAAGATTCAGCTGTAGTCCGACCTTTCCACATTCACGGTCAAAGTCGTTCAGCATTTGTGCCGCTTGGTTGATGTTTGGTGTTATTAGAACGATGTCATCAGAAAAGCGGAGGTGGTGTAGTTGCCGACCATCTATCTTCACTCCCATGTTTTCCCATTCCAGTCGTCGCATGATGTTCTCGAGGGTGGCACTGAAGAGTTTTGGTGAAATGGTATCACCCTGCCGAACCCCTCTCTTGATATGGATGATTACTTCTTTGTAGAATGGTGAGATCTTGGCAGTGAATCCGCAATAGAGCTCACGAAGGATCCTGATGTATTGAGTTTGTACGCCCTGATTGGCTAGGGCTTCCATTACCGCTTCCGTCTCAACAGAATCAAAGGCCTTCTTTAAATCAATGAACGTTAGACAGAGCGGCATCTTGAACTCCCGAGATACCTCAATGAGCTTGGTTATTGTGTGGATATGGTCGATGGTACTGAATCCTTTTTGGAATCCAGCTTGTTCACATGGTTGTCCTTCATCTAGTGTTCTGCTAATCCTATTCAGGATGACTCGAGTGAATAGTTTGTAGATGACAGACAATAGGCAGATTGGGCGATAGTTGCCAATGTCGTGGATGTCTCCTTTCTTGTATAGTAGTACAGTCTTGCTGGTTTTCCATTGGGATGGAACCTTGCATTCAGACAGGTAGCGTGTTTAGAGCCGAGCCAGTATATTGATGAGTACTGATGGTAAGTTCTTCAGGTGTTCAGGTCTGATCTTGTCTGGGCCAGGTGCTCTTTGTTTCTTTACCGACGAGATGGCATGTTGGATTTCGGAAGGGAGAACATTGGGAACGACATATCCATCATGTGGTATGTGGTATGTGGGCAAGTGGATGTGGCTATTAAAGAGATCTGAGTAGAAGTCATGAATAATCTTCTCCATTGCCCTTCTGGAAGATGTGATAGATCCATCATGATGTCGGAGGGCAGTCATCTTGGTTTTGTAGTTGGTGAAGGACATAAATAAATAAATAATAAGTTTTCTAAATATAAAAATTATTTAAAAGGGGCCGGAGCAGAACTAGTAGAGTAAGTGGGTGCTTGCCTCACACACAGTCGACCCTGGATCAGTTCCCGGCAGCCCACAGGGGGTTTCCTAGCACCACCAGGAGTGATGCCTGAGTACAAATCAAGAGCAAGTCCTGGCATAACCCAGACCCCACCCCTCGTTATTCAAATGATGAACTTATGAGTTCTCTGATACCAAAGTGGACAAAGATTCTCATCAGAGAAAACTACCAACCTCGTTGGTGTGGCACTAAGGCCAGGGAGCCCCCCCAAGACTGTCCCCACACCCAGAAAGACCCCCACACTGTCCCCGCACTATTCCCACACCCAGCAGTGCTCAGGGCAGCCGTGCCACGAGCAGTCAAGTGTTCCGGGTGCATGTTCATGTCCATGTGCGGAAGCCACCGACTCGTCCTGAAGAGGGGAATGTGCTTGAGTCAGGGGGTCCGAGGCAGAGCTTGCTCAGCTGAACACTCGCACAGAGGGGACCCAAGTGCTGCCGGTAAGTGGACAAGCACGCGTGAGGGAAATGCCTCCCCCACCCCATGTTCTCTCCGGCCCCACCTGTTCCTGGTTCTTGGGGACATTTCACTTGTCCAGGCACCGTCAGGCATTTTCCCGCATGGCTGCATCTTTTCATTCCCATCACCAATGCAGGAGCTCTACTTTCCCTCCGTCTCGGTCACCACTTGCTGTGCCGTGTCATGAGGGCTAGAATATCCTGAATAGAATATTCCCAGGGGCTGCTCAGGCACTGAGAAATGCCGTCTGTTTTTTCTGACTTTCACTTCCCTAATCATCATTGACTCTGAGTATCTCTTCCTGGGGAAACTGAGGCTCAGAAAGGGTCATATGGCTGTCTGGTGGCCAAGAGGTGGTTTAAGTTATGCTAAGTGCCACCAGGCCCTTCCCCCACAATACAGCTGACCTGGAGGGCCACAGGCCCATCCCAAAGGTCACCCATGTCTCCTGGCCCCTCGGCAGCCTGCTGGAAGGGGCAGCAACCGGGCTCAAGTCTCCACTTAGGCCAGGGGCAGGGCACAGTGTCCAGGCTGCTTTGGAGCGGTCAGGGCTCAGCAGCTAAGGGCCAGAGCCCCGAGGGTCCCCCCGTCTTGCACCTGGACCTCAGTCGCCTGACCTCTGGGTATGTGACCCGGGAAGTGGCCTCCTTATGTAATCTGGCTGCCTGGCATGACTTGGGCACTGAGTAGCCATGGGCTGAGAGTGGGGCCTAAAGTGTCCCCACCCACCGCTCAGCCACGGGAAGGGGCTGTGGGCCTCCACCTGCCACTCAGCCACAGAGAAGGGGCTGCTGCGGAAACCCCCGCCCTACTGGAAAGTCCGAAATTCTACAGGGGCCACGTCCAAGGCGGGGTGACGCCTGCAGCTGCCGTGACTCAGGCGGAGCCCTGAGACTTGGGTGTGCTGAGAGTGTGGTTGAATCACACCGGCAGCTGCCTCCAGTATGACACCCCTGGGCAAAGCCTCCTTTGGGTGAGGGAGGAAGGCTGGGGGGATTTTCCTGGTCACCTGTAACCCCGGCCTTTGCCCTGGACCCCTGGTGGATGCACACCCTGGGGTGAGCGGTGAGCTTTGCCAGCTGAACCACCAGTCCTGGGGAGTAAGAAGTGGAGCTCTGCATGCCTGTAGCTGCCCAGGCTGGGCGGGGGGCCAGTGTCCTGGCCACTGCCTGAGGGAGGTGGGGGCCTCCTTCACAGCCCTGGAGGCAGCAGGCCCTCAGTGCTCGCTTTATTTTATTTGATGATTGTTAATGATAAGGGGCCACACCTGGTGTTGCTCTTGGCTCCTGGTGGGGCATGGGACGCCATCCCCGCTGCCCTCCTCATCTCTCTATTTACTTTTGTCTGTTTATTCTTGTTTGGGGCCATGCCTAGTGATGCTCTGGGGTTACTCCTAGCTTTGCACTCAGGAATGATCCTGCTGGTGCTCGGGGGACCACACCCGGGTGGGCCGTGGGCTATGGCTCCAGGCCCTCCCATCTCTGTCACTCTAGAGCTGGTCCGACGCTCCGAGAAGGAGGTCACCTTCCACTGAGCACCCCTGTCTCGGAGCCCCGGGCGCCGGCATCCTGAGACTCTCAATCCTGCCCCCCACAAGCCCTGAGCCCTCTGCAGTGGCCTGGCACCTACCCAGCCGAGGTCTGCGCCCGCCCCCTGTGGCAGGGCCCTGGTTGGCTGGGCGGGAGAGGGCCGTGAACATAAGAGCCCCGCGTGAGGTGGGGTGCAGTGGCCCTGGCAGCACAGGGCAGCGTGAGACCCGGCTGGATGGCAGGGGACGGGCGGGCGGGTGGGGATGCCCTGCGCATCCTGCTGAAGCGTCGCCGTACAGAGATTGCCCTGGCCGTGGACAGCGCCTTCCCACTGCTGCATGCGCTGGCTGACCACGACGTGGTTCCCGACGACAAGTTCCAGGTGGGCCCCCAGAGGACCCCCACGGCCCACCACCCCTCAGGGAGGGCTGACGGGTCACCCATGAGGTGTGCAGACCCACCCTGCCCCCCACGTCAGCGCCTTCGGGTCCCATCGCTGCCCGTCCGTCGCCTGTCCCCCGCAGGAGACGCTGCGACGGCAGGTGCAGGAGGGCTGCCCGCAGGCCATGCATGCACTGCTCTCCTGGCTGCTCACCCAGGACGCGCCCACCATCCTGGGCTTCTGGAAGGTTCTCTTCAAGGACTACAACCTGGAGCGCTACGCTGGTCTGCAGCGGGTCCTGGACGGCTTCCCCCGAGGTGGGCACGCAGGGAGCAGGCGTCCAGCCACTTCCCCCTGAGCAGTGAGTGGCAGCGGGTGCTCACCTCTGCTCCAATGGATCCCGCAGATGTGGACGTCAGCCAGCCCCGGAGGGGGAAGAAGCCCCCCACGGTGGCCCCCAAGGCCTCTGCTCTGCAGCCGCCTCCCAGACCCCCTGCCAAGAGGAAAGTGGCCGAGGAGCCTGGGGCCGCCCTGCCAGCCCTGCCCACTCGGGGCCCCAGCCCAGGTACCTGAGGAGAGGGCCCGGGATCCTAGGACACCAGGGAGGGTCTTTGACTTGTGTGCGGCTGACCTGGGTTTGATCCCCGGCCACCCCAGATAGTCCCTCAAGCCCGCCAGGACTAAGTCCTGACTGCAAAGCCCAAAGTGGCTCCTTAGCACCTCTGGGTGTGCCCCCCAACAAAAGCAGGTACCCAGGAAGAAACTGGGGTGACCGGATGCTCTGGGGCCATGGGTGGGGGAGCATATCCCCGTCTGAGCCCAGGGTACAAGGGAGGGGGGAGAGTCTGCAGTCCGGGTGCAGCCGGGCCCACTCAGCACCTTCTTCAGGAACCCACCTCAAGCCCAAGGCCCCCAGGAAGCCAGAGAGCAACTCGGACCAGCTGCGCCTCCCTCTGGGCACCGGTGAGCACAGCCCGAGTGAGGGGTACACTGAGGGTCCCGAGCTGCAGTTCCCCAGGGTCCACCCGGAAGGGCCCCTCCAGCTCCCTGCTGGGGCAGCCAGCTCTCACCTGCTTCTGAGTCCCCAGATCTGTGCCTCCTGCTTTAGCCCAGAAACTCCTCTGCCTCCTGCCCATGGGCACGGCTAATGCCCCAGAGCAGGGCCAAGGATGCCGCCTCCCCCCTGCATACATACTGCACACACACGCCCTCCTAGCACACAGCACACTCCTGCACATGCCATCCTGCTACCTCACATGGCACACACATACGCATACCCCACACAGCACACACACCCACACACCCTGCAGAGCACACACACCCGTACACCCCACACAGCCCACACCCCCAAACACCCAACAGAGCACACACACCCGCATACCCCACACAGCACACACACCCGCCTACCTCTCAGCGCATACACCTGCATACCTCACAGTACACACCCCTTCACACCTCACACAGACACATATGCACACCACACACAGCTATCTCTGGAGACTTGGGGGTTCCCCTGCAGCCTGCCCAGGGGTGGGCGCGAGGCCTCCTCACTCTGCCACCCCATGTGGCCCATCTGCTGTGTGCTTCTGCAGGGATCCAGACCGTGTTGGCCTCGGTCCCAAGAGCCATGGCTGTGTCTGCCGGGGACGCCCCTGGAGCCCGGGGGGCGGTGGAGGGGACTGTCGCCCAGCAGACGTTTGAGTCAGGTAGATGTGGCTGGGCAGGGTGCACTTCAGGGCCCCTTGGCAGATAGGACTGACCCCACTCATGGACTTTGAGGGCTCCCAGGGGGCTGTGGGCACCCAGGCAGCTCTTCAGGGAGGACACATCCTGCTGCCCTCTCTGCCCACTTGGGTGGCCCCTGCAGAAATCTGGGTGCTCTGCAGCAACCCAGCCCTCCCCCGCTCCCATGTCCACTCACTCCATTCTCCCCTGCAGGGTGTGGGGTCTCGCATCACCTGCAGTCCCGCATCACCCGCACTAAAGGCCAGGCCCCATGTGGGGACGCTCCTGCAACAGGAACCTGGGGTGGGGGTGACGGTCACTTATCCTCTGGCGGGTGACGAGCCCTGTGCACATCCGAGGTTAAAATAAACTGGCTTCAACTGGATAGTAGACAGCATCCCAGACCCGAGGGTCAGCAGCACTTCCCTGCCAGACCTCTCCAGCATGTGGCTGCGGAGGACACACCTCGCTGGCCTTGGGGCCCCAGGCTCCTGGATGTGAGGGACTCGTCTGCCCAGTCCAGAGGCCCAGAGCAAACCCCTGTGCCGAGAACCCAGCGGGTGCGTGGCAGGGCGTGTATGTGGGGGTGGCGGCTCTGCTCAGTGCCTGCAAGGCCCTCCCTCCCAGGCGGCTCCAGGTGTATCCAGGTGGGAAGAGAGTTTTACAACCCCCGAAAGCTCGAGGACCCTGGCGGACGCAAGAGCAAGACCCGCAGCAGCAGCGGCAGCGTTGCGGGTGACGGCGGCCTGAAGACCCCTGTCCGAGCCAGGGAACCCCCCGGGGCTACCTTCGTAAGCACTGACCCCTTCTGGGGTTCTGACAGCGGCACCCCCGACCACCAGGGGCAGCAGCGTGGCGTGGGCAGCGGCCGCTGGGCTGCCACTGAACCTCATTACTCGCAGGGTGAAGGTGACCCCCGGGACTCTGCCCCTTCTGAACTCCCCAGAGAGCCACCGCTGCACCAGGTAATGCCCAGGGCGGGGCTCTGCAGGAGGCAGGTGGTGCCCTGGGAGGAAGGGGTCTGAGCGCAGGTGGGAAGCGAGGGGATGGAAGGACTGCGGGGGTCCTGGGAGCTGGCAGAGGCAGTCTGGGGGCGGGGGTCCGGCGGGACCCTCTCCACTGTGCGGTCTTGTCGTGCCCTTGGCCTTGGCGGTCAGAAGAACGAGGATGAGTGTGCCATCTGCCAGGACGGTGGGGAGCTCATCTGCTGCGACGGCTGCCCCCGCGCCTTCCACCTGGCCTGCCTGTCACCCCCACTGCTGGAGATCCCCAGGTGTGTGGAAGCAAGCACACCCACCCAGTGTTCAGGGAAGGGCAGGCCCCGCCCCCTCCCACCGCGCCCCGCCCCGCCCCGCCCCAGCCTTGCCCGGCCCCGCCCACCCAGTACTCAGGGCAGGCCCCACTCCTCACTCCGCCCAGAGTCCCGCCCACAGCGCCTGGCCCCGCCCACCCTGTGCTCAGGACAGGGAGGCTCCGCCCATCACGCCCCGCCCTGTCCCTCCCACCCAGTGCTCAGAATAGGACAGACCCCGCCCCAGCCACGCCCACAGCCCCAGTCCCGCCCACCCTGTGCTCAGGACAGGACTGGCCCCGCCTCCGCGTCCCGCCCACACCCACCCTATGTTTAAGACTGGGTGAGCCCCACTCACCCGCCCACGCCCATCATGTGTCCCGCCCCTTCCCTGGCCACACCCACCCTGTGCTCTGGTCGGGCCATGCCACTCTGGACCCTGACCCTGTCCCTGACCCAGCCATACCCACTGTGTCCTGCTCAGATCCTGGTTCTGGGCTCCGGGCCCCGCCCCCACACCACGCCCCTCCCCCTGGCTCCGACCCACTCAGGCCGAGCTCCCACCTCTGGGGCCCACCCCCAATCCTGTGTGCCCCTGACCTGTGAAAGGGATGGAAGTGGGGTTCACCTGGGGCATGGGGAGCTTGGTTCAGAGCAGGGGCAGCGCTGCTGCGACAGGAGGGGCTTCCCCAGGGCAGAAAAGCAGAGGGAGGCCCTGCCCCAACACCCCAGCAGCTGGAGGGTGTCCCAACACCCAGTAGCGGGAGGCCTCTCTCTGACACTCTGCCCAGAGGCTGAGCAGCTAGACCCTAACCCAAGTCAGGGTTGGGGAGCCCATGGTGGCAGAGCTGGACCCCAAGAACCAGCTGTTGCTCCTGGGAGGGGTCTGGCCCCCAGCCCCTAGGGACCCTGCTCCCATACTGGGGAGGGCGTTGGGGGAGAAGAGGGCTCCCCCCTCCCCGATCTGCCCATCTGGAGCCCCATTAGCCCGGCCACACCTCTGAGCCCTGGAGCTCTGTGGCTAAGTGAAGGGGCCAGTGCGGGGCAGCGGCGGTCTCTGGGCCCCCATTCTTCCTGCTGTCTCTCCGGCGCCCCCTTCCATGACCACCGTCTATTCTGGGATGAAGTAGGTCCCAAGGCAGCAGCTTGGAGGGGAGGTGGGCGCCTGGGGGTGTCGGGATTCAGACTGAAGCTCGGGGGGGTCAGGGCCTGGGGTCTCAAGGGTGTGAATCTCGGGGTTCTGCAGAGAACGGGGTGATGTGACCATTCTGGGGGTACTCCAGTGAGTCTAGACCGACCAGCTGGAGCCCCTCCCCTGCTGAGCCCCTCAGGGAAGGATGCCCTGCAGGGGGGTGCACTGTCCCTCTGCCCTGCCCCCATCCCTCTTGTGCCAGAGCAGCGGAACATGGCGGTGCACAGAATGCCTGAGGAGAGGAGACTTGTGGGAAGTGCCCCAAGCCCAGGAGCCCCCCACGGGGCCAGCAAGCACCCCGGTAGGCCCAGGCCCCTCGCAGCCCTGTCTGGACCCTCCCTGCAGTCCCTCATGTGCTCCCGGATGTGGAGCCAGATGCCCCAACCCAGCACACACACAGAGCGTTTGCTCAGACCGCCTGGGGACTGTGGAGACCCTGTCTGGAGGTGGGGGGGCCTCCCCTCCCTGCAGCCCCCTGGGGGGAGGGGGGAGCCCCTGACCTTGAACACCAACCCCACAGGTCCTCCTGGCACTGAGGCCAGCCGCAGAAGAGGCCAGGGGCCAGCCCAGAGGACCGGGAGACATCGGGCTGACTTGTGAACACCAGCTGAACCCCCCTTCCACAGCCCCCCTGCCCATCCTGGACCCCTCAGCCCTGAACCCCCTGCTGTGTGGGGGGCCCAGGCAGCTGCAGGTGAGGGCCAGGGCTGGGGCAGGGGACTGGGTTTGAGGGCTCCCATTCTGACACCTCTAGGCTCGCTCTGAAGGAGGTCCAGGCCCCCTGGGAACAAGTTGGGGGTCCAGCTGTCCAAGCTGTCACTGAAAGGCATTGGGGTCACTTCAGACCTGGACACCCTGAACCCCAGAACCCCAGTCTAGATGCTGAGGAATTTGGACGTCCCCCCTCAGCACAACAACCCTGGGCGGGGGTCCTGGGTGAAGAGTCCTGGGAGGGGGCCTGGATGGGGATATTGACTTGGGGTCCTGGGTGGGGGTTCTGGGGAGTCTTGGGGGAGTCCTGGGGGACCTGGATGGGGATATTGGCTGGGGGTCCTGGTGGGGGTCCTGGGTGGACTTGAGTGGAGGGTTCCGGGGTGAGGGGCCTGAGGGGTGGGAGGGTCTGGAGACCCGGTCTCAGCCCTCCCTCAGCCTGCTCCTCCCCGACCCCCCTCCCCCGGTGTCCCCCGCAGGGCTCTGGGGGTGCACGCTGCATGGTGTGTGGGAATGGCGGGGACACGCTGCACTGTGCCATCTGCGCCACAACCTTCCACTGGCACTGCCACTTCCCTGGGGCTGCCCCCTGGCCAGGGTGAGTGGGATGGGCGGGGGTGGGCGGGGGCTGGCGCCCCCTCTGCGGGCAGCCCTGAAGTGTGACTTCTGTTCCCGCAGGGCCGCGCCGCGCTGCAAAGCCTGCGCCGAAGGGGCCCCCGCGCCCGCCAAGGTCAGTGGCGCCCACTGGCCCCAGGCTCCTCGGACCCGCCTCCTGCTTCCACAACCAGTGGGGTGTGAACTGGCCCGGGCCCTGAGCCCACTGCCTGGACCGCAGGCCGGGGGCGGAGCAGGACTTCTCCTGCTTGCCTGTCCAGTTCCCAGCAGCTCTGGGGAGGGGCTCAGGACCGCCCACAGGCTGCTTTTTTCTAGAAGTTTCTCCGCCAGGCTCAGCGCCTTCCAGGCAGCCTTTTTAGTTCTGTCACTGGAGTGAGGCCCTTAAGGGCGTGCTCAGGTGAAGTCACAGGTCCCAACTGTGTCTCTCCTTCAGTCGGCACGGGGATGGCGCTGAGTTGGCCTGACCTGGGCCCTCGCAGCAGGGCCGACCTGAGCCCACTTCCTCCTAGAGCTTTCTGAGGGTGCTGGGTAACTTTCTGGGTGCAGAGCTATGACCCACTTCCTGGCTTTCAGGCTGGGGATGAGACTGCTACCCAGGGGCAGGTTCTGCACAGGGATGACCTGGAGTCCCTGCTGAGTGAGGTAACACACCTGTGGGGCACACCTATGGGGCACACCTGCGGGGCACGCCTGTGGGCTTACACCTGCAGGGCACACCTGCAGGATACACCTGTGGGCTCACACCTGTGGGGTACACCTGTGAACTCACACCTGCGGGGCATACCTGCAGGATATACCTGTGGGCTCACACCTGTGGGGCACCCCTGTGGGCTCACACCCATGGGGCATACCTGTGGGCTCACTCCTGTGAGGCACACCTGTGGGCTCACACCTGTGGGGCATACCTGCTGGATCACATCTGCTGGAATACGCTGAGGAGCTGGGAAGGCTGAGGGCATATGCAGGCACCCAGGGCACCAGCCAACCCAGGGCCCTGAGCCTGCCCTTCCAACTGCCCCTAGGTTTGTGGGGACTTTGTGGGGGGACCTTCATGCTCCTGCCCGCAGTGGTTTCCATGTGGACATGCCAGTCACAGGCTGAAGGGGTAACAAGTTCCAGAATCTTCCCAAAGGAAAAGAGACTTGTAGGCCAAACTCCAGCGCCCCCAGCTCTGTGGGGGCTGGTACCTGGAAGTCCTTCCTGGTCGAGGGGGGCTGTGCAGAGGGCGTGGATGTGGCTTGCAAACTGCAGGGGGCTTTAGCGAGGATGAGGGTGCCTGGGGAGGCCAACCCTGCCTAGTGGGAGAAACGGGGCAGACGCATGAGCCCCTTTATGGAGTCTCTTGAGGCCCCCTCACAGTGAGGGTCGGGGGGTCTCTGGAGAGACCTCGAGTGACACCCCTGCATCCTCATGCCTGTGTCTCCCTGAACAGCAGGGTGGGGTTGGGAGAGGGTCTGGGGCCTACCCGGGCTACTTCAGGTGGGCCCACATCGTCCCCTGCCCCTACCCCGCTAATGCATGCTGTCCCATTCCACCATACGCCCACCCCATGTGGCCCCATCCCTCCGGCCCCTGTCCGCAGCACCCCTTCGATGGGATCCTGCAGTGGGCCGTCCAGAGCATGAGCAACCCCCTGGCCAAGACACCCACCTGTCCCTCCTGAGCCAGGTCACCTGGCCAGGAGTCCCTGCACACCCCCACGTCAGAGATCACCAGTGAGTTCCAAGGGGCCTGGGCCCAAGTCCCCGGCTCCAGCACCAGGAAGATGGACATCCTGGCTGCCCACAGGCTGTGGGGGAGATTAAAGCACTCCTGGGCTCTCATTTCCTCTCCCTTAAGGCGTGTTGATTTGTTTCTGGCTTCTGGGCTAGAGCAACACCACAGCAGGTGGGGTGCGCCGACCCAGGTTCGATTCCTCCATCTCAGAGATTTTGGCAAGCTACCAAGAGTATCCCACCAGCACGCAGAGCCTGGCAAGCTCCCCATGGTGTATTCGATATGCGAAACACAGTAACAAGTCTCCCAGTGGAGACGTTACTGGTGCCCGCTCGAGAGAGTCAATGGACAATGGGAGGACAGTGCTACAGTGCTTGTGGCTTCTGCACCCCAGGGCCTGATAGGAGCTCACCACAGTGAGAAGAGGGGTGAGTGGAACCCTTGAGTAACACCCCCACTGTCCACAGGAAATCTTGGCACAGGCCAGGCTGGTCCCCATCCGCTGCCCTGCACCCCCCTGCCCTCAGAGCCCCCAGCTGACAGCCCCTGGCAGGGATCAGAGCAGTCACTGGGGCCCAGGAGGCTCCAGGCCCAGGGTCACACCTGGCCTTGGGTGGCCCAGAGCTTGTAGGTGCACATTGGGAACCAGAGAAAGTGGGAAACAGGCAGTGGGCATCGACGTGGGGGCCCCCCCACAGTGGCGAAGCTCCAGGGCAGTGGTGACCAGCGGTGCCTGATTTCCGCCCCCCCCCACCCCTGTCACTCCCACCCTCAGGGAAGACTCAGAACCCTCTCAACAGGGCGCAGCTTATCACTCAGAGGTACCCGCCTGTGCAAGGGGGCAGTGTCAGCCGCCACGTGGCCCTGCCACTATCTGCAAAACTCGCACCTCAGGACGCTCTGCTGCCGGCGGGGCCTTATCACCAAGGGAGAGCAGGGAGCCAGGTCTAAGGTCATGTAGGACGCTGGGCCCTCTCAGGGCCACTGTTGCTGGAGACTGCCTCCCCCTCCCCCCACTGGGAGAAACTGTAGCAGATTGCAGCTTCAACAAAGTGGCAGAGAAAACCCACCCCAGGCTGCTCAGCAAAGCTTTGGCTCCAAAGGGGTGTGGGCACACCATGGGGAGCATCTGGGGAGCCCACACCAAAGGGGTGTGGGCGCAACGTGGGGAGCCCTTGCCTTTCCCCGCAGCTCTAGGTTTCCCGGGGACCCCTTACGCTGTGAAGATCCCAGGGTGCAATGTGTTGGACTGCAGATGGCCACTGACTGAGGCCCCCACTGCCCCCTACTTGAGACCAGTCCCAGTCCCAGACAGAGGGGGAAATGAATGAGTAGGTGGGTGCGTGTGTTGATGAATGGGTGAATGGGTGGCTAAATGAATAATGAGTGGGTGAGTGTGTTGATGAGTGAATGAATGAGTGGGTGAGTTGGTCCATGAGTGGGTGAGGGAGCAAATGAACGAATGAGTGGGTGTGAGTGAATGAGTGGGTGGGTGAATGAGTGAATAAGTGAGTGGGCAAGTGAGTGGGTGTGTAAATGAATGAATGAGGGGTGGGTGAGAGGGTGGACCCCAGGGGGCTGTGGGCTCCTGGTCTCCACACACCGGACAAGAAATTAGACAGGCCCCAGGGCAGGGGACACCGGTTCTGCCCTTGGGCAGCCCCTGAGCCGGGTCCTCCGTCGGGGGTGGGGGGCGCGGGATTAGGGGACTGGGGGGTCCTCGCCAGTGGTCTCTGGAGGCCCCTGGGTCAGGGGGCAGCGGCACGAGCGTGAGGCGGGGTCGCGGGGACATGCGCTGGGCACTGGGCGGCGACCTGGGCCGGGGCGGGGCCAGCTCCGGGGCGGGGCCGGCGACAGGCGCGCGGGGCGGGACGGGCGACAGCAGCGGCGGCGGGAGAGGAGCGCGCCGGAGCGAGTGGCCGCCGCCATGGCCACCGTGGACCTGGAGAAGCTGCGGACGTCGGGGGCCGGAAAGGCCATCGGCGTGCTGACCAGCGGCGGCGACGCGCAAGGTGGGCGCGGGGCGTCGGGCGCGCGTGTCCCCGGTCCGGGCTCGGCATCGGGCGCGCGCAGCGTCAGGGGGTCCCGGGGCGCCGTCCCCCCGCTGGCCCTGGGCGCCGTCCGCGCGCCTGTCCCGCCGCTGCCCCTCGGCTGCTCCTGGGCTGCCCCTGGGCGCCGCCGCCCGCCCGCCGGGCCCTACGTGCGGCTCCGCACGGTCGCGCCCCGCCCCGCCCCGCGCCCGGGGGCGTGTCCGCCGTGCGCCCGGCGGGGACCCCGACCAGCCCCGGCGCCGGCCGGGCCAGCGCGTGCTGGGGGCCCCGCCGGGGGCCTTCCGGGTCCGGGGAGGCCGAGGCCCGTCCCGTCCGCCCGCCCCGCCGTCCCCTGGCGTGGGGACTCGGTGAAGGGCCTCGGTGGGACGAGGCCACCGCGGGACGTGGCCACCGCCTGCCGGTGGGCGGGGCGTCCAGCTCGTCCGGTCTGGCCTCTCGCTGGCCTTCAGCACCGGTGGGAGCACACGCGCCCACCGTCTGCGGAGGGACCCCCACGAGTGGGCGCGGCGCAGTGGGAAAGATGTGGGCAGCTGCCCACCCACAGTGACTTTTGAGCCGTGGGCGTCAGCCTGCCTTTTCTTGCGCGCGGAACCTGCCCTGGACACCCAGCAGGACACCCACGCCCGGGAAACTGCAGTGCGGGTCCTGGGTCCTGCCCGGCGCCCTCCCTACCGGAAGCTTCTGCCCTCGCTCGGAGGACAGCCCTCCACCCGGAGCGCAGGCCTGCCGAGGGAGGACCCCAGCCCTGGGTCCCGCCCCTCACTCCCAGGCTCCTTCCCATCTGGGAGGAGACTGAGTCCAGGGCAGAGGTCGAGGTCCTCCTCCCCTGTTCTGGGGTAGGGGTGTGTGGAGGTGCCCCCCCCCCCCACTTGGCACTCCCTCACACTCTTGGGGGCAGCGCTAGGGAGAGGGTCCCGCGTGGCCTCCTGGACCCTCAGTGCCTTGCTCGCTTTTCTCCCCCTAGCAGTGCCCCACATCCCTGTGTCCCTGTGCCTCCGTCTCTGAGGTGCCCCACCCCACATTCCTGACAATGCTCCCACACCCCCTGACTCCTGCGCCCCGATAGTGCTCCCCACACCCCCTGACTCCTGCATTCTGATAGTGCTCCCTACACCCCTGACTTCTGTGCCCCTTCACAGTGCTCCCCACATCCCCTGACTTCTTACAATGCTCCCCACACCCCTGACTCCTGTGCCCCTTCACAGTGCTCCCCACATCCCCTGACTATTTTTTTTCTTTTTGGGTCACACCCGGCGATGCCCAGGGGTTACTCCTGGCTCATGCACTCAGGAATTGCTCCTGGCGGTGCTCCGGGGACCATATGGGATGCTGGGAATCGAACCTGTGTCGGCCATGTGGCTGCGTGCAAGGCAAACGCCCTACCTGCTGTGCTATTGCTCCAGTCCATCCCCTGACTTTTTACAGTAATCCCCACATCTTCTGACTCCTGAGCCCCCTCACAGCTCTCCCCACATTCTCTGACTCTTGTGCCCCTTCACAGTGCTCCCCACATCCCCTGACTCCTGGCAGTGCTCCCCACACCCCTGACAGTGCTCCCCACATCCTCTGACTCCTGTGCCCCTTCACAGTGCTCCCCACACTTCTGACTCCTGACAGTGCTCCCCACATCTCCTGACTCCTGACAGTGCTCCCTACATCCCCTGACTCCTGACAGTGCTCCTCACACCCCCTGACTCCTGACAGTCCTCCCTACATCCTCTGACTCCTGTGCCACTTAATGGTGCTCCCCACATCCTCTGACTCCTGACAGTGCTCCCCACATCCCCTGACTCCTGTGCCCCCTGATTGTGCTCCCATTCTTTGCAGGCATGAATGCTGCCGTCAGGGCTGTGACTCGAATGGGCATCTATGTGGGCGCCAAAGTCTTTCTCATCTATGAGGTAACGTAAGGGTGGGGCACCCTTCTGTCTTTTTCCGCCCCAATGAGGAGACAGCCCGGAGGCCCCAGTGATGGGGAGACCCCTCCAGTTCTGGGGGTCTGTGTGGGCCTGAGGCTGCTGAGCTGCTCACACACACCAGACACCCACACATACACCTATACGCACAGTACACACACCACTCACCACACACACACACACACACACACACCCCCATATATACAATACACACATCACTCACCACACATGCACACACACCCATATGTAGAGTACACACACCTCTCACCACACACACACATACCCATATGTAGAATAAACACATCACTCACCACGCACACACATGCAATCATATGTATATTATACACACCACTCACCATACACATACCTCACATGCACACTCACGCACCAATACTCACATCCACATTCACCCACACATCACACAGCCCCGTTTTTCTGACAAAATGCACACCATTGTGCTTATCTTACTAGCACACATCTGTCTTGTATGAGTACATGCACACACTTACACACACACCTGTCTTGTATGAGCACACACACATCCGTGTCTTGTATGAGCACATGCACACACACCTGTCTTGTATGAGCACACACACATGCTCACACCTGTCATGTATGAGCACACGCACACATGGCATACACACACCCCTGTCTTGTATGAGCACATGCACACACACACACACTTGTGTATGAGTGTTGGAGTACACGGAGCTTAGGTTTATCAGGTTGCACCCATCACAGTGCTCCCGAGTCACTCCCATTACTTTGTCTGTAACCACTTCTATGCTCTCTTCCCCAACCAATTTGTAAGGTCTCATCCTTCTTAGACACTGAAGCTGTACTGTAAGTTAATATTGCCTTTCTCCTCTCCTTATGTCTTTTGAGCAGTTTACTTTAATGCAATGTCCTTTTGTATAGATACAGGAAGACAATTAATATGCTCAGTAACTTAGGAATTGATTGGCTTTGAATATTATTCACTCCTGGGCATCTGCCTTCTCAACTTA